CTTTATTTTGTGTATGTCATGGGCAGGAATTATTTAAATGAGGAATATTGTGACGTGTTGTTCCCGGAAGGAAACTCAAAGACTACACTGGAGGCGTTTCAGGGAGTTCAGAAACTGTGTCGCACTGATATAGAGTAACAGCAACATTACACTAGGTTGAAAGTGTAAAAAAAGCATAACATGTGCTCTTTCATGAGGAGGTCACCATGGGGTATGTCTAACATTTGATGATTTAAATACCTGCAGGCTGTGAATGGACCTCGGAGGAAACGACACCCACACCACCTGACGTCTGCCCTGCTGGCGGTCGGCCAAACGTGTGGCTGGATGACATTGTTGACCCATGACCTGCTGCTATGTGGCCTGATGACCCTTGACCTGATGGCACTGTAAGATGGACAAAGATATCATATCATGTGGTGCGTGAAAGATTAACCCCTACTTTTTCATGCACTAGAACATTCAGTAACTCTTTTCTTGCGGTCTGCATTATAACAGTATTCATAATGTACATTATAATGCATTATATAAATGTAACCAAAGTGAAAATGCATTATAATATCTGCAGATTCCTTGTGTCATCTGAAATTGGTTGATTGTTATGTTTTAATTAGGGCTGTCAAGCGATTAATCGCGATTAATCGCATCCAAAATTAAAGTTTGTGTTTACATAATATATGTGGGTGCACAATTATATATAATTTATATTATATATAAATATAAATATAAATAATTTATATATAAATAATATTTTTTTTCTTAAATATACTGTACATGCATGTGTGTGTATTTATATATATATAAAATAATTATACATAGTGCACCCACATATATTATGTAAACACAAACTTTTATTTTGGATGCGATCAATCGCGATTAATCATTAGTTTTAATGAATTGCACTTCATGAGATCTTGTGGTTACAATTCATGCATTATAATGTGCATTGCAAGGAATATTAAAAATACTTTTATAATGCATTATATATAAAGACTTCATGTTCTACAGAATATTTCAGTATTATTAGATCTTTGCATATATAATTGATGATAAATTAATGATTAATTGAGGAAAAATAAATGATTTGGTGTGCATAATATAAACAAATTATAAAATATATAAACCCTGATTGCCTTAAACATAAACATATCTCTTACCAACAGAAATAGACACTGAATGGACGCCCCCGTCTGTGCCTGAAACGCATTCGGTTTATTAGGCTTCTCTACAGCTGTTATAATTACAATAATTTACAGGTTTCTGAATATAATTACCTGGGACTTTTGATCCTGAACCTCCATTAGCACCCATTCCTCCAGCTCCTACACCTGAGAACAGTCGCCATGATATACACTACTGTTCAAAAGCTTGGGCTCAGTACGGTTTTATTATTAAAAAAAAATTTATTATAAAAAAATATTTTAAATCGTAATAATATTTCACAATATTACTGCATTTCTGATCAAATAAATGCAGCCTTGATGAGCATAAATGTCTTAAGCTTTTGAGCGGTAGTGTAAATTAATGTGTAATTATGTTATATTATATACACTTCAAAATATTAGTTTTAAATATATAGTGCATAATATGGCATTTAGTATTTTTTATGCAATACCATAATGCAATGTAATTTAATGCAATACCAAAATCAGTGATCGGGTACCTGAAGGAAGTATCTCTGATTTGGACCCCTCTTGTCCATCGTAACTTGCACCTGTAAGTGAAATAAATACGGTGATTAGGAACACTTGTTAGGGTAAAAACAAAGGAAAGCATGTTTACCGCAGGCGAATACCGTACCATGAGAACTTGATCCAGGTGGACGAGAGTAACCATCTCTACCGTTACTTCCTGTAACCCACACACACACGCATTACTGAGAGGCCATTCTTTCTACAGTAATAAAACACTGTCATCCGTCTGAAAATGCTTCAGTAATCCAATGACAAGCATTGTTAAGATTAATTTGGTATGTTTTAGCTTACTTCAAGTGCATCCAAGATGTAGGTGTCTTTTGTTTTTCAATTTTGATATTTTTAGGTCAAAGCGTTTGTGTCTGTCAATCATATAATGGAGGTCTATGGTCACCACCTCAAAGAGCATGCACAGAGAAGTCCAAATTAAACATGATTTAATGACACACTGATGGCCTAAGACACGAAACGAGCGGTTTGTGTGAGAAAACGAACATTTTATATAGTTTTTACCTCTTGTAACCACAGCCACGTCCAAGTGATCTGAGGGCGCGGGCGCTTTGTGGCGGTGGTTACAAGAGGTAAAACGATATAAATACTGTTCGTTTTCTCACACAAACTGCTCATTTCATGTCTTAGGCCATCAGTGTGTCATTAAATCATGTTTAATTTGGACTTCTCTGTGCATGCTCTTTGAGGTGGTGACCATAGACCTCCATTATATGACTGACAGACAAGATTGGGTTGACCTAAAAACATCAAAATCGAAAATACTGCGGAAACAAAGACACCTACATCTTGGATGCCCTTAGGTAAGATAAAACATACCAAAAAGTGAACTATCCCTTTAAATGGACAACAAAACATTATTATTCAGACTGATGCTGCTTACCATCTGAAGCTCCTGATGTGCTGCTTGATGCTGTAATGACAAACACACTAGTTTACTTTCTTATTGGACATGAAGGAGAAGATATCAATGACCTTACTGTCATTTTTAGTGTGTTGCATGGCAATGTAGGACTAAAAAGACCACAGTAAATATAGTTTACAGAACTTTGGCTAACGTTCTGGCAAGGCTCTCTCAAAGTTATGAATGAACATCCTTCCAGTTTGTTGAAAGTTATCTGATCTATGTTATCAATACATCATCCATCCCAGCTAACAATTTTAGGTTCTAAGAACGTTTTCATAATGTTCCCATTAAGTTATAAAAACGTTATTTCTAAATGTTCTAGGAACGTTCAAAACGTCCAGTTTTTTAGACGTTGTATTAACGTTATTTCTTGGTTATAAGAACGTTTTTGAAAGCGTTATTATAACGTTCAAAACGTCCAGCTTTTTAGAAGTTGTATTAACGTTATTTCTTGGTTATAAGAACGTTTTTGAAAACGTTATTAGAACGTTCAAAACGTCCAGTTTTTTAGACGTTGTATTAACGTTATTTCTTGGTTATAAGAACGTTTCTGAAAACGTTCCAATAACAACGTGAGGATAACGTTTTAATGCTAACGTCTTTAGAACGTTTATCAATGTAATATAACGTTGGCACAACGTTATAATAACATTACAGCAAGAACGTTTTTGATAACTTTCAGAGAACGTTAGCCAATGTTCTGAGAACGTTCCCTGTTAGCTGGGATGGATGTTCAGAGAGGGAACATTCCCATGTTTACAAAATGGAAAAGTACGTTCACATAACCAAGAAAAAAACGCGTTTAAGCAAACCGAAATAGCGTTTTCAGAATGTAATTCGCGAAACGTTCTCAGATCACGGGTGTTGCTCTTCTAAAGTTGGGCTTGTGTGAAAGTTTCGCCCCTGATAGATCAGGTTCACACTTACAGACTTGGCCAGTTTGAGCGCCACCATTGAGTTTCTGACCTGGGAAACAAGAGCAAAGGTTTTTGTCAAAAGATGTATTGGACTTCAGGCACAGAAAAGCGAGGCCATTGAACTTCTAACAAATTCACCTTTCACCAGAGGCCATGAGAGGCTAATGCACTCCGAACAGGTTTTAAAGGACTTGTTTTTGCGTTATCGAGTAGACTTTCCTTACCATTTGGGGATTCGCCCGAGACGCCGCTGCCAGGAGTCATACCTTGGAGAAAAACAGCCTTTTTAGTCTAAACAAGGCCTTGAAACATCGGTCCCACAAACATGCCCTCTCACTGCGGCAGGCCTGTGTTTTCCACGGGCCCGCCGCGCACCTCATGATGTTTCATCTTTCCACATTTATTAATAAATCGAGCAATGCCGTTCAGCCTCTGTGGCAAAATCTCCACATACCTGATCCCTAAACCAGATCAAGTACCGATTGGCTTTGCTTACTGAGTAGGGTGCACCCAGTGAACTATTTTCCAGTGCTGAGAGGTTCAGTGTTCTCTGCCTCCAGCTCTAAAGAGGATTAGCTTCACCTTACCCAAGCCTTTGGGTGCTGCAGTGGCCTGCTGCGATCCCGCTCCTTTGGGAAAGAGGGAGAGGAACAAGAAACATATTCTTAAGATTCCCAGAGATCATTTCTCACCGGTCAATCAATCAGTTTCGGCCAGGTGGAAGAACAAAAACACTCTTTTCACATGCGCTTAAGGGGGTTCGCGTCTCGTGTAAACCAGTCATATACATTTTAAGTTGCTTTTATGAACATTTTAGATATGATTTTAGTGTTTTTTTTCTAAAACCTCCAAATCTTTGTCAGTTTTTAGTCTTTATTCACATTTGTAATTTATACTACTGGAATATTTGGGGTCAGTAAGATGTCTGTTTCAATTAAATGCTCAAAAAAAGGCAAAAATGACTGTTTTTAGTGGGGGGTTTTTTTGTGTTTTTTAACTTTTAAACGGTAGTGTATGTTAATTACCTTACAAAAAGTACTGTGGTAGCTTGGTTGTATAAGATGGGTTTACTTTGGTATTCCAATGAAATAACTTTTTGGTAATATTGCCATCACTGTATTATGGTTTTAACATGGTATTAACATGATATCACAAGGTTACTTTCCAAAAAACCACTAAATGGTTTTACCATGCTATGATGTCCAAAATATATATGGCAGCATTGTCCATTGATAAATACCATGATACTGTATGATTACCATATTCAAAGCCAAAAATGCACATTGTATAAGACATAATACCATTGTACTTTTTGTAAGTGTAATTTTTGATGATTATGGCAGAACCCCAAATGATTTTAAAGCAAATTATGATTCGTTATGTGATTATTAAAGATGACTGAGGTTTTGCACAATGGTGGTAAGTTGTGAACTTGTCACCCACCCTTCATATGCTGACCTTTGGAGTCATCATCATCTGTAAAGAAAAGGGAAAATCGATACAGTTTATAACAACCGCTCCTTTGTTTTGCCCTTCTCCTGGCTGTTATCAGAATATAACACGGGTCCACTCAGTCTTAAAGGCTCTTTTATTTTGCTTTACTCACTTTAGTAATGTTAAAAACTGGGTTTATGAAGGTTAACGTATTTAAAAAACTATTTATCATGAACTTTATAGTATTAACGTCTTATTTTGTCCTTTTGCAGGATCAAATTGCTCTCCTCGGGACGCTGAGGAAACACATTTTGCCTTCTAAAAGACCATCATCTCCTACCCTCTTCCTCCTCAGACAGTTCTTCTTCACCCTCTTCAGCTTCAAAGTCATTTTCTTCGGGCTCCTTATCTGTCCGGAGAGAGTGGGGCGATTGTGTAAATATGTGCGGCCGCTGTATGCTAAACACAAGAGTGTGTCATTAAATGAAGCCCTCTGGGAGAAGAGCTCGTACCTTCAACAGGAGCCGTTGATATGGTGGACGCCAGAAACACAACAGCCACTGAAGCAATTACAAGATTTCTGTGAAAGCAAGACGATAAGAGTCCAGAATGAGCAAACGTGAAGCAAAATGACCACCCTAAACAATTTATCAATGCAAAACAGCTCTGAAAATGGCCAACTATTCTCTTGAGAAATGTATGCTTTTAATATTAGTTTCATTTGGAAAGTCAATTCAGCAAAAACAAATACAAGTACAGCTTGTATTTTGTAAGCAATACTTAATATTTTTAATGCTAAAGTATTGTAATATTCAGAAAGCACAGCTGTAATTAGTATATCACTTAATGGGTCGCCCATAGCACAGACTCTAAACTATAACCGACATAAAAAAATTCATTGAAATGCAAAATTATTAAATACAAATCCTACATAAAACATGCTTTTGTGGAGGTTTCAACACCAAGGTCATGGGTTTGATTGATCCATATACCTTGAATGTAAATTCACTTTAGATAAATGCATGAATGTCCACATACAAGCAAAAATCCACTGCTGTACGCTGATTAATTAGCTTCCGTTATAATCAATAAAGTCAGTTTAAGTGTCCGACCGGTTCTTATAAATCAAACGCCATTGACTTACCGTGACAGCATCTTTAGCACAGGTTTATGTGGGAAACTGTGCAGCAGACATAAAGCAACCAGCAAACGTGCTTTTGACTTCCTTATGCTTGACTGGGCACCAAAATACATTTTATACCCTTCCAGCCCCCCATCTTGTTAATGGGCAGGACTTGATGTCTAACCCCTACCCCTGCCATTCAAACGATTCCCTCTGAAGAATGAAACCACAGGTGAGTCATGCAACTTTTTTCTGATTCATAATTCATATTCAGATCAGATCTGCAGTCTCCATGCATTAAAATGCAGAAATGCTGATGTATATGTACTTTACATTGGCTGTTGACTACTGATGCCAAAGATTTAAGATTAAAAGGTCTTTATTTATGGCATGTCCCGTCATGTTTTTGGGCCCCCAGTGGGATCAGTAAGGCGGATCAGCCAGTGGAGGGCACAGCCAGCCTACACAACACCACAGGGTTTCCTCATCTGAGCATAGTTTAAGATCATAGTTCTTTCTGGTTTAACACTTGATATGATCCCTTTGACTAATGAGTTTATGATCAAGTGTTTACAAGTTTGGACTATTTTTAAAATGTTTTTGAAAGGCCTTTTATTCTCACCATTTATTGCATCAAAAATGCAGTAATATTGTGAAATATTTTTATAATTCAAAATAACTGCTTTCTATCTGAATATGTAATTTATTCCTGTAATGAAAAGCTGAATTTTCAGTAGCATTACTCCAGTCTTCAGTGTCACATGATCCTTTAGAAATCATTCTAATATGATGATTTGCTGCTCAAGAAACATTTATGATTAAAGGAGTATAATTTACTCACCCCCATGTCATCCAAGATGCCCATGTCATTCTTTCTTCAGTCGAAAAGAAATTAAGGTTTTTGATGAAAACATTCCAGGATTTTTCTCCATATAATGGACTTCAATGGGGACCAAACGGTTCAAGGTCCAAAAGACAGTTTCAGTGCAAACTGCAAACTGTTCAAAGGGCTTTAAATGATTACAGACGATGAATAAGGGTCTTATCAAGCGAAACGATCGCTTATTTAATAAATAAATAACAAAGTTTACGTTTTATAAGCTCAAATGGTCGCCTTGCTCTGTTGTGTGATGCGCGTTCGTGACTCTCCTGTTTGAACTCGTTCATCAAAATAAACTAATCTTTTCCCGAGTCAACTCGTTCATTTCGTCTGTTGATGAACCAAATGACACGAAAAAAGATTCACGAAGAGAGTCACGAACGCGCATCACAGAGCAGAGCAAGGCGACCATTTGAGCTTATAAAACTTAAACTTTGTTATTTATTCATTAAATGAGCGATCGTTTCGCTTGATAAGACCCTTATTCATCGTCTGGAATCGTTTAAAGCCCTTTGAACAGTTTGTAGTTTGCACTGAAACTCTCATTTAGACCTTGAACCGTTTGGACCCCATTGAAGTCCATTATATGGAGAAAATCCTGGAATGTTTTCATCAAAAACCTTAATTGCTTTTCGACTGAAGAAAGAAAGACGTGGACATCTTGGATGACATGGGGGTGAGTAAATTATCAGGTGAACTACTCCTTTAATATCAATGTTGAAAACAGTTATACATATTTTTGTGGAAATTGTTTACCTATATATATATATACCAATAAATTACATTGATAACAATGAGCAGCAAATCAACATTTTAAAATGATTTTATTGAATTCTAAATTAATTTTAATAAGGATGTACAGCCTTTTTGGTTTCAATGCAGTTTGAATGCAATCCAAAACTCACTTTTTGCCTGCTGAAAATGTGCTTTGCTGGTTTAGCTGGTCAGTTATTTGATCTCCCAGCTTGACCAGCTGACAAGTGGCCAAAACCTTCAAACCTGACCGACCAGTTTTAAAGCCAGCTATGACTAGCAAACCACTTTTGGCAAGTTTTATGCATTTATCTATAAAATTGAGGCCAGTGGTTGCCAGATCTTTCAGGAAAGAAAAGAATGGGAACGCCAGTAAACTGGAATGGCTCGTGATGTGTTAATGGATTAGCATGGCCTGTTCAAGTACGGTGGTATGATCCGTATATGTTGCATAAGCTAATGCTTCTGTCCCATAGCAGTAACTGAATCGCAGGCAGCTCACAGGAAGATTGCATTCCTCTACAGCGTGCCAGTTCACATCAAGCCCGTTTTACAATGTAACGAACACCAGCAGGCCTTGAAATGCATTTCTGTGATAAACTCGTCCTGATGAGCTAAATGGACGTGTGTCGTAGCAAAGCTAATGAGCTCTCGGGCTAAACAAGCTTTCTTTGTTGTTTTGTGAAATGTGATCTATGTGTGTGTATTTTGACCCGTAATGTTGCGTGTGTTTTCTTGAAACACATAATCGAGAGGGGGGAAATAATGCTAAATACAAATGACTAAGCTAATCTTATATAGCTAGGATAGCAAACTTTTAAAACTGTGGTTTATGACCACAGTGTATCATCATCAGATGGCTTCTACACATCGTGTCACAAAGCTCAAATCATCTCAAATGAACATCAAGTCATCTCAGTGAGTCCACTACACCCAAACGGCCTCCACAGTCACCAGATCTCAATCCAGTAGAGCATCTTTGGGATGTGGAGGTTCACAATCACATCATGACAAGATGGGCCAAAATGTCTTGAGGAATGTTTACAGCACCTTGTTGAATCTATGAAGGCAGTTCTGAAGGCAAAAGGGGTCCACTAGCTAAAGTGGCCAGTGAGTGTGTATTTTCAGGGGCCAGTGCAGCAGATTCATCGTTTATGGTGGGTCATCATCACATGTATCTATCAAAGTAGCTGTGTGGAATGAAAAGACACATTGACAGCAGTATTATTAAACATCTGCTGGTCTTGCTGGCAGATGTGTGCAGACTTCTCCTCACCAGTTTCTGTCCTGTGGCTTCCTTCATTCCTGCAGGCCTGCCTGCTCTCAGACAAAAGCTCTCTGTTCGCTGCTTGAAACCATAGCGCTCTCGGAGCCAACCTTGGGTGACGAGATTAGAAGTGCAGTCCTGGACCGGTCCGGCTTGGCTGATGGGGTCAGACGGTACAGCGGCTCAAGACATTTGGAAAATGACGGACCACCACAGTTGTATCCTATATGGCAAATATATATTTATTTATTACCATGAAAAAATGTAGAAAAAAATGTTTATTTTAGAATCGATTAATCACGATTAACGGCACAATTTGTTTTTAATCTTGATTTTAAAATATTTCAAAAGAGAAATCTGCAAGATATATATATTATAGAAATCAATTTATTTTCAGTGTATTGGTGTAACACACACACACACACACATATATATATATATATATATATATATATATATATATACACACAGATAAATAGATTTTTTTAAAATAAATTTTCATCAATTATATCATATATAAATTTGGATCAATACCATGTTTATATATATATATTAGGGCTGTCAAACGATTAATCGCAATTAATCACATCCAAAATAAAAGTTTGTGTTTACATAATATATGTGGGTGCACTGTGTATAATTATTTTATATATATATGTAAATACACACACGGTTGTATATATTTAAGAAATATTTTCATATACTGTATATAGATTTATATAATTTATATTATATATAAATATAAATATTTTATATATAAATAATATTTTTTTCTTAATACCTATACATGCATGTGTGTGTATTTATATATATATATATATATATATATATACAAAATAATTATACATAGTGCACCCACATATTTTATGTAAACACAAACTTTTATTTTGGATGCGATTAATCGCGATTAATCGTTTGACAGCCCTAATATATATATATATATATATATATATATATATATATTACATTTAAATATCAATTCAATTTTATATTAACATAATTAAAAAGTATGTTTCTAGATTGAGTATAACAAAAATGTTAAATATGCGTATTTATATAAATATATTTGTAAATATGCATATTTTTAAAATATATGACTCATAGCCTACTTTCCTGGTTGACTTTTTTTTTTTTTTGCATTAAATTTTAAAATATTGTCCAGAAATATTTTTAAACGCATTAACTTCAACAGAAAGATCCTCAGAGACCACAGCAGATCACAGGAGAGCATGTAGGAAGTAAGAGGTGAGTTCCACTGTGGTCCAGTACAAACACACAGATTAAACCACACGCACACACACAGACCTGCGTGTTTTCTCATACAGATTCCTGTTCTGTTCTCAAATATCAGCTTCATCCAGAGCTCTGTTAGGAGTTTTTGTCTCACTGGTCACGAGCCACCTCTGATCGTCCTGAAGGAGCCATTCTGTTTAGAAACCCGATCGCTCTGAAATGACTGCGGCACTGGAGTTTTGGGTCCCTGAACCGCTCTGTAATTAATCACCGTGGGCCAAATCTAATATGTCGTACAGCAGGACAGAGGAATAGTGTGGACAGGTGGTTGTTAAACTTAATCAGAGGGTCAGACTAGTTCTCATTTCCTGCCCAGGTTCTCGAATGAATGTTTGCAACCGATATTAAACTACTACAGAATGATTTTTGCATTATCAGGTGTGTTAGGCTATAATATTTCATTGACTTTCTAGTTGGTTTCAGTTTTTTTTTTGTCTGTGCCAGCTCTATATTTCATAGGTGAGGGATATGAAAGCTTTGTGTTGTGAAACAGACACATATTATCTTCATGGAAGATCTCAAAAAGTTATTTTTTTATCTGTATACTGCATTTTATCATGTTGCATCAGTGACATTCAACCTGATTCAATGCATTCATGACCTAAAATATATTGCACAAGTCACACTTGTGCAATATATTTGATATATATTATATATGATACGTAAGGGAAGCCACCACAAGTGAATAATATGTATGTTTCCGTACTTCTCCAGTTGATTAATCACAGTAGGCCTTCATTGAAGGGGCTATATAATTCAGAAACCTTGTTTTTAGCGACACTGGTGGCCGTTAAGTGAACTGCAGCAGCAACTTACAGCTCGTGCTCGCACATGAAAGGGGACTCAAGGCCTGAAATATTCGTGGAAATGGAATTAGTTTTTTTTGTTATTTGCTTCATTAGTAAAATAAAGTTGGAAATACCTTTTCAGGACCATTAATGAACATCCAGACGCCATCCACGCGGTTAGATGAAAAAATGTAACGTTACCGTGCTCCTTCCTCTCAACAACAAAATAAACACAAATAAACATGACATCGGTCAGAAAGCTGCAGTTAAGGAAGTATCTGATCATAGTGATGTGGATATGTTTGCACCACCTCTACAATTCACCGGCATCGTGTCGACAGATGAGGTAGGCCTAATTAAAATGACACTATTATGATTTTTATTATAAAATATATTCATGGAGACTAGCCTATAGTTCTGTACGACTATAGTTTGAATTAGCTAATCTCTTTTCTTTACATGGCACATTGACATTACAGAATGTCTCTTTCTGCATTATCCTGAACATTATCATTAATTTTGTTTCTGTCAAAGATCGGAAAAGAGGCTCACGGGAGCGCGCATAACCGTCACACGTCCTTATTTGATTTTCCCGGCAAAAACGTACTGAGACTTTCACATAAAATAATAGACTTTAGGAAGTCAGGGAAGGTCTCGTTTTTAAGCTTTGTTTTATTTGTTTAGATAATTTTAAAAATAATATTTAAATATGTTGTTGAAATATACAAATGCAAAATGAACTAATTAAATATGCCTTAATTTGCATAACATTTCAGAACAGAAATCTTAACATTGGATTAAGATAGGTACGAAATTCTTGTTTCATTCTTGCCATATTCACTCTTAAAATTAAAGTTTTTTTAAGAATTGTTTATTGAAATGTTCTTTTGAGGAGCCAAAGATGGTTCTTCTATGGCATTGATGTGAAAACTGCTTTTAGGTTTTTCCTGGGAGGATCTTGGATTTCTTTTTATCCTTTCATTCTTATCCTGGATTTCTTTATCTGGGTCTTTTCCTGAGGTGATTTCAAAGAGTTATTGAAAATAATTGCATAAAAATGTTTGCGTTTCATAGGATGTATGCGTTTGGAATGACAGGATTTTCGTTTGTGGCTGAACTTTTCTTTTAAGAATGACTGACAAAGAAATGAATCGAATAAATGAAAAATAAAAGAGTGTGTGGACAGAACTTATCAAACGTGAGTCTTGACCTCAGAAAAACCAAACACACTGTTGAAATCTTGAATTGCCACTCAATGGATTGTCAACAGAAGCTGACAAATGAGTTCAGATAACGAACACTCATGTCTTTTTGGAGTTTGATGGGGTTTTCATAGCTGCTAGTTTTTGATATTAGTCAAATAGCAATGCGACTCGGTTCTTATATTACATGCAGACCCCGTCAGCTGAGTGTGTCGCTGTTCAACAGGGCCTGTTTTTCAGTAAAAGGTAGGCCTTTTCTCACAGATATCAGCCACTAGATGAGAGTAGATGTTTAAACCCTCTTACGCCTTAAATTAAAGTCTAATATTTCTAAAGGCTTCTCGCGTCCTTCCGCCCCCCTTCGAAGCTGTTGGGAAAGTGGGCCGCGGGGGAAACTAATGCACTGCGAGGGTCAAGCTTCACTGGCCGTCTCCATTTTGAAAGCCAGCCTTTGGTTTCATCGGCCTCCCGTAAGTTTGAGAAGGCCCGTACAGGGGTGACGGGAACATTTGCACACAGAGCCCGCGAGTCACGCTCGGACAGACGGCCCGCGAGCGCTTTGTTCTGAGCTGTTTGGTGGCTTTTGTCTGGGGTACACCTTCCTCTTCCTCCTCATCCTCGTGTTTGTTCACCCTCGGGCCAGGTTTAGACCACCGAGATGTAATGTGAGATTGTGTCGTGCTCCAAAGAGCCTGTGGAGTCACACACGTGGAAACTTAACTCTTTCTCTGTGTAAGGGTCAAGGAATCTAGCCTGCTGGTTAAATCTTAAAAAAAATAAGACATCAGAGCTTTTAGATAAGACTTTCTTTCTTTGACTAAAACCGCTGAAATATGACACATTCATACGGCCATTCACACGATCTGATAACGTTTAACTCCTTGTGCAGCCGCGCAGACTCTACTTGCTTTGCTGAAATGTTGAAGAACACAACGAACAAATTTTTATATTTTATTTGTATACTGATGTGATGTTCAGCTGTTATATGTAATTGTCAACTTATTTTTGGATGATCAAAGCTAAAAAAACGCAACATGTTTTCAAACCATCTCATGTTTGATTTTGACGCGACATAAAGTTGTGATATCTAATATTACATTTACATTTATAACGATGTACTAAAATCAGAAAAGTATTTTTTTTTGCGTATTTTACATACGGACGACAACGTTGTCTACACACCGATCTGCGAAAACGACTAAAAACGCTGCATTATGCTAACAGGCCAGTAGTTGGCGATGTTACTTTGTAAAAAAAAAAAAAACATTGCGCGCCTATATAGACCGAACACATATATGTATGACGTTCACAAATTCGCGTTTTTGCAGTCCACGCGGAGACGATGACGGTATCGGTTTTTAAAAACTTGCATTTTGAAACCTGTTTTCAAAAGTGTGCATTTTCAGGCTCGCAAAAAGCCATTGTCGTGTAAATAAACGAATAACTAAAACACATAAAAAGCGTTTCATTTTTAGTTGAAAACGGTGTCCTGTCAACGTGGGTGAGTTGTTTACTTACTCTTTAATTAATTTTCCATTAACGCCATCTTTTTTTCATTCACAACGATATGTGGATGTGGAACGAGCTTGAAAACGAGAGGTGGGATTTATCGTTTGAAAAACTATCAAATCCAACCATAGCGCCACGGAGGTATTCACACAGATTCGCGAAAACGCCTAAAAACGCTGCATTATGCTAACAGGCGAGTAGTTGGCGATGTACCTTTGTTAAAAAAAAAAATAATAATAAAAACATTACGCGCCTATTTAGACTGAAAACACATACGTATGATGTTCACAAATTCACGTTTTTGCAGTCCGCACGGAGACGAGTTGTTTTCTTACTTTTTAATTAATTTTCCATTAACGCCATCGTTTGTTCATTCACACCGATATGTGGATGTAGAACGAGCATAAAAACCAGAGGTGGGATTTATCGTGTGAAAAACTATCATATCCAATAATATCCAATCATATCCTGTAATATCCAATCATAGCGCCATGGTGGCATTGCCTCCTCTCATGTGACATTCTCAATTACCCCCCACTAAACCTGCACATATATATATATATATATATACAATGTATTTATATTATAATAGAATTGTATAATATTAATATATAATAATAGTAATAGTAATAATATAATACAATTGTATAATATTAAAATATATATATACTGTATGTGTGTACTTACAGTGTACTGAGTCTGACCTAAGAAAGTACTGGGTAATGAAGGTAACTACATGTTAGCATTTTTGTAATATTTATATACTAGAAGAGCAAATATATAATCAATTTGGTTTAATTTGAAAGACCAAACCAAAATATTGATGTGTTTAAGAAAAAAAAGCCTTAGTTTTTTTTAAAAAAATCCAGTTTTGGTCCATCAAAATGAATTAGTAAATCATTGTTTGTCTGTAAAACTTTAACATTTTAATAATAAAATAAAATTGTGATACATTTATTCTGTAATATTAATTGGATTGTCTCGGGCACTGAAATAATATATTTTTTTTCAATAATTTTTGGTCTCATGACTACATTTTGTTGAAAATTTCATAATTTAAATAAAAAACAGAATAAGATATGCATGTGCTTATCCATGTGGTTTAGTTTACACACACACACACACACACACCCACAAAAGTCTCCATGGTCACTTGGTTTTCTGACAACCCAGTCTTTATTAGATTTGCTCCCTGTGTACATATTAAAATGTATTTAAATCTATACAAAATTATTTTTTTTAACAGTTTTCAGAACAATCTGTGCTCTTACATTGCTAGTTTATTAGTATTCCTCCACAGAGACATAGACATCAGAGATTCTATCAGACATGGTCTGTACAGTCTTAAATCATTGTTTGGGGGTGAGCAGAAGAGATCTCATTTTTTTGTGATTTCAGAGTAAAGAACAGAAGGCCGTCGTTGTAGAGCTGCAGTCTTTCAGTCAGTGACACCCTGTGGACAAACCAAAGGAGCCAGGAGGACAGGTTTGATGGTTCGGCAACATTTCACCAAACCCGAATCGCTTGGTCTTGGGAGCTTTCTCAAAAAATTCCTTCAGTTAGTTCTACTCTCTATGCGTCACTTTCAAAATGAAATTTATTTAGACTCTACACAAACAGACAAATACACGAGGTTCGGAAAAATTCCAGACCCTCATTGTTCTTCATGCATCTAACAGTGGTAAAATGAATATATCAAACGTTCTAGAATCAGGACAAAGTGATAATAAAAAAAAATGGAATGTACACCAAACAGCCGAATAATTTAATCTGCATCCCAGAACCCTTAGAAAGGAACCTTCACCATATGAGAGAGAAAGAGAGAGAGGACGAGAGGGACGTGTCAATGTGTTTTAATGGGATGTGAAACTCTGGTTATCATGACTGTCTCAGTTGATTCTTTTTACGTCTCTCCAGGAAAATTCTGCAATAAAAAAAAAAGAAAAGCAATCATATAGTGAATATATCGTATTATAACAGCCTATGTAGACAGCATTATTGGGCCGAATTCTTAATAGTTTATGCAGGTAAATCAATGAGGTCATGAATTTTCTGACAGTAACTCCAGGGGGCGATAATGGCACTTGCTTCAGGCCAACTTCAGGTAGCTTTCATTCCTCTTTTTGATTGAAAAATGATTTAAAATGTGGTAGGATATATCCAATTTACTCATATATGGAAAATTCTTTATCCACAAATATAAATGGGACACGCATCTACTTTTACTCATTTGAAAATGAAAGGTCTCTCTACCTTCATACATTAAAGGAGTGGTGTATAATGCCCTTTTCACAAGATGTAAAAATAAATCTCTGATGTCCCCAGAGTGTGTATGTGAAGTTTTAGCTCAAAATATTTTTTATATAACATGTTAAGTCACTTTTTGAGGATTAGCAAAAACACTCCGTTTTGTGTCTGGCCCTTTAAATGCAAATGAGCTGCAGCTCCCGATACAGTGGGCGGAGCTTCACTGTACTGCGTGTTCGTGACTCTCCTGTTCGAACTCGTTCATCAAAATGAACAAATCTTTTTTCGAGTCATTTCGTTCGTTGAATGAACCAAATGACTCGAAAAAGATTTGTTCATTTTATCTTCATCGTTTCGCTTGATAAGACCCTTATTCATCGTCTGGTGTCGTTTAAAGCCATTTGAAGCTGCACTGAAACTCTCATTTGGTCCTTGAACCGTTTGGACCCCATTGAAGTCCATTATATGGAGAAAATCCTGGAATGTTTTCATCAAAAACCTTAATTTCTTTTCGACTGAAGAAAGCAAGACGTGGACATCTTGGATGACATGGGGGTGAGTAAATTATCAGCAAAAGTTTTTTAAAAGTGAACAACTCCTTTTAGGCTTTATATCTCACACTGTGACGTTTTATCTTCTTTCATCAGTCTCTTGTGAGGTTTCATGAATTTTGAGAGTTTAAACACTACATAGGTTTGATCATATGATACCTGTGACGATGTCTTTGCAGAGTCCTGGTTGCTAGGAGCTTGGCATGGGGGTTTTGCTGCCATCATCTGATCCTTAGGAAAGGCAGGAGCAGACATTAGCATGTGTAAAGTGGAAGTGTTTCAAGCAGGCACTTCTTCACAGCATCATTACCTTGTGTTGTGTCATCAAGATGATCTGGTTCGTCTTGTGTTTGAGAAGAAGGATCTGTGAACAAATGCTTTCAGTATGACCAAAATCTCGACATTTATTACGACATTTTCATCTAAAGTAACTTTATAATTTATTCATGCTTATAGATCTACACTCCTACTGTATGTCAAAATCTTATAATGTCTTATTTGTGTCTCCCAGGGAATTTTGGGAAAATTGACTTACCTGTGGCATCTTCAACCCTGAGTTCATCCTCATGGGAATCAGCGTCATCGTCATCTAAAACAGAAACGTGCAAAGGATTTGAGGTTTTGCCCATTCAGAGAGTAGTGGCCATCTAACAGGTACAGTTTATCATTTATTAAATATTTGACATAATCTGGGGAAGTTACGGGCCAAAGTTTAATACTTGGGTTCAAAACCACATAACTGAAGTGCTTTAGACCCACGAGACGTACCATCTAAAACATGGCTGTCTGCGTCAGTGATGTCATCAATGTGTTCCTCTAGAGTTGGCAAACAATTCAAGAAACATGCGTTCAATACTTTGTACATGATAACGGCATCATGTGACTCTTACATACTTAGGTAATAAACATATTTACCGTGTGACATCGTAGCATCTTTTGAGTCATTTTCATCTAGAAGGAGAAAAAGTGAAGAAAAATGAGCTTTATCATGTCTTACACATGTGGCTTTAGTGAGAAGTCATTTGTTTGTCCGCTGACGGCCATTCAGAAGTAAAACTCATATTTGATATTGATTATGCTTAACCAGTGCCTGATTCTTTTTTGAGGCTTTTTATTTTTCCCTGTCAGCTGTTTTTAACGTCACAGATCAGAATCGTGAACTTGTGAAGAAAGGGATTCATCACTTGTTGTGTTGTGCATCACATCTGGTTCTCAGTTAGCATTGAAATGTGATGCTGATTTTCATTTTTCACAGATCATGTGACCAGGGAATGCTGTGATTTGGCTTACCGTGGGAAGCAGAAGAATCATTCGTCTCTGTTGATGCAGCGTCAGGAGAATCTGTAGGTTTAGACAGTTTTATATGACACTTTGTTCTGTAACAGTGACTTTATGATAGATTTATGAAAGTGATAGATTTGTAAAAGAAGCCTGTTTTCTTTCTTTCTTTTTATTTCACAGTGTGACTTCATATCTCATAATATGACTTCATATCTCACAATTCTAACTATATCTTACAATATGACTTTATCTCACAATAAGACTATATCTTCAATTATGACTTTATATATCACAAAATGACTTTTATATTTCACAATATTTCTTTATATCTTACGATTAGGACTTTGTATGCTAAAGAATGACTTTATATCTCACAAAATGACTTTATATCTTCAATTATGAATTTATATGTTAAATTACAACTATATTTCACAATTGACTTTATATCTTACAATATGACTATTTTCAATTATGACTTTATATTTTCAATTATGACATTATCTCACAATTAAGGCTTAATTATGACTTTATGTCTCACAATTATGACTTTATATCTCACAATTAAGACTTAATTATGACTTTATATCCATTCTGACTTGATATCTCACAATTATGACTATATCTTGCAATTCTGACTTGATCTCTCACAATTATGACTTGATATGTCACAATTATGGCTTTATATCTCACAATTATGACTTTATATCTTGAAATTAAGACTATATCTCACAATTAAGACTATATATCTCACACTTATGACTTTATATCTCACAATTAAGACTTAATTATGACTTTATATCCATTCTGACTTGATATCTCACAATTATGACTTTATATCTTGCAATTCTGACTTGATCTCTCACAATTATGACTTGATATCTCACAATTATGACTTTATATCTCACAATTATGACTTTATATCTCACAATTAAGACTTGATATCTCACAATTATGACTTTATATCTCACACTTATGACTTGATATCACAATTATGACTTTATATCTCACAATTATGACTTGATATCTCACAATTATGACTTGATATCTCACACTTATGACTTGATATCTTGCAATTGTGACTTGATATATCCCAATTATGACTTTATATCTCACAATTATGACTTGATACCTCAGAATTATGATTTTATATTTTGCAATTGTGACTTGATATCACAATTATGACTTTATATCTCACAATTATGACTTTATATCTCACAATTAAGACTTAATTATGACTTTATATCCATTCTGACTTGATATCTCACAATTATGACTTTATATCTTGCAATTATGACTTGATATCTCACAATTATGACTTTATATCTCACAATTATGACTTTGTATCTCACAATTAAGACTTGATATCTCACAATTATGACTTGATATCACAATTATGACTTTATATCTCACAATTATGACTTGATATCTCACAATTATGACTTGATATCTCACAATTATGATTTTATATCTTGCAATTGTCACTTGATATCTCACAATTATGACTTTATATCTCACAATTATGACTTGATATCTCACAATTATGACTTGATATCACAATTATGACTTTATATCTCACAATTATGACTTGATATCTCACAATTATGACTTGATATCTCAGAATTATGATTTTATATCTTGCAATTGTGACTTGATATCTCACAATTATGACTTGATATCTCGCAATTGTCTTTATATCTCACCATGTGACTTTAAAATTGTGATTTATATCGCACATAACGATTGTATCCCATGCAATCAAGATTTTATATTATAACTTTAAGTGTCTTCATACCGCACGATGTGACTATTTCTTATTTTCAACTTTATCTCAGAAGTATGTGATATATTTTTCACTCTGAGGTGGACATGGGCCTGCCTGTATATCAGTAAATACCTTGCTTCTCTTTTTCCACACTGGAGTCATTGTCTTCCTCAGTGTCTGTGGGCATAAACACATCAATCAATCCATGGATATTATAGTGTGATGAGTGTGAAACTGAAAGGATGTAATGTGTACCTTCTCCTCCCGTCTCTGAGCTGTCCGTGACGCTCTTGCTGTCACTATCGGAGCTCTCTGTGTCTGTGGACTCTGTGCTGCTCTTGTCTTTGCCCTGGTCTTTATCTTTGCTGTCCGAGTGCGAGTCTGAGTCCGAATCCGAGTCCGAATCCGAATCCGAGTCCAGGCTGGAGTTGTCAGAATCTGGTTTGTCGTCCTGCTTGTCTTCTGTCTTTTCTTCCCGCTGACTCTCGTCAGACTGACTGGCTGTGGCGTCTTCTTTCGAGGTGGCGTCCTCCTTGTCCTGTTCATCTGGTTTGGATTCATCTTCTTCATCCTTTCCATCGTCGCTGTCCTTGTCATCCGTCTCCTTCTTTTCTTTGTCGTCCTCTTTGTCTCCGTGATCTTCCGTGTCTTTGGGGTCGCTGGTGTCCTTGTCTTTATCCTCAGCGCTGTCCTCGACGTCTGCTTTTTCAGGGGAGTCTGCCGTGTCCTGGTCCGGAGTGTCGCTGTCAGAGTCCGGGTCTTTCTCGGTCTTCTCGGTGCTGTCTGTGTCTTTCACATCCGGATCCTGCTCTTTGGAGTCGTCTGAATCTTTCGACTCGCCGGTATCTGAGTCGCTGTCTGTGTCGCCTTTCTCTGGCGTCTCAGCGGTTTCTCCACCCTCGTCCTCTGAGTCTTTGCTCGAGTCCTTGCTGGAGTCTTTCTCGTCTTTCTCGTCGCTCTTTTCATCTGTGTCTCCATCTGTTTTGTCTTTGTCAGAATCTGGGTGTACAAAGTTCATTTTTATTAACATGGATCATGTAACTGACTTTAATTATTATAATTACAAACAAATGATTTCATGGACCAGTGATCCCTAAACTTTACTAAAAAGTACCATGGTTCATTGATTGTATCAGATCAAGAACTAGCCTACTACGTTACCTATTACCGCGGTAATACCATTGTAATTTGATATATATCACCAACGCACTATTCATGCACTATTTATATAACAATCCTATTCATAAAACATGGTATTTTCATGATACACGTGAAAAAATAAATGGATTTACAGTGGTACCAGGTACAAAAAATGTTTTTATTTACTATGATAGGCATCATATAATTAAAAAAAAAAGTTAAATCATATCACTTCCATGTTTATAATGTTTATACAGTTTCCCTAACCAGTTTTGAAGCGATAAATATTTTGTCACGTCGCCTCACTTATTTAATCACAATTAAATATCAAAAGTGTTCTGACAGGGTTATTATGTTAATTATATTTCACTAAAACTAAAATAAGCTTTATGGTTTTAGTTAATAAAATTGTAGTTATAGTTATATTAGTTATAGTGTAGTTAAATTAGTGTATATATATTTATATATACACACACTGTAAAAAATATTGTTGGTTTAACTTAAAAAAGTTACCTAGTTGCCTTAAAATTTTTAAATTGAGTTCATTGAAATTAAAAAATGAGTTAATAAAACAAAGGAGATTTTCAGGATAGAAAGGGGGATAGAAATTCATAATATTATTCTATTTGAACCACATTCATTAACTAAGTTGATTTGGTGATAAGGTGGTAACAAATCAAGAATATTAGTTTTTTTTACTATATATATATATATATGTGTGTGTGTATATATATATGTGTGTATATATATATATATATACATATATAACTAAAAAATATTAATAAAAACTTTAATAGTATTTTACTAATATATATATATATATATATATACACACAAATATAACTAAAAAAATATGAATAAAAACTTTAATAGTACTTTAATAATACTAAAATAACACTGGTTCTGACTGGTTTTGTGTCAGGACAGAAAGAGTACTTGATACTGTAAACTTGTTGCATTGGATCGTGTTAGTGTTATTCCTTTAAGGACTTTTTAAGAGCGAGAATCATGTTCTTTTGTTTGGTTCTAAAGTATAGAAATGAGACGGATGTTGTTTTGTGTATTTTAAGCTCACCATCAGAGTCCTGCTGCTCATCTGTGTCTGAATCTTTCTCAGATGAATCATCGGTAGCTTCTGCATCCGAGCAAATACAGTAACATAACAGTCATTATTCACAAAACATCTCTAACTTAAGGCTAAATCACACTATTCAGTCAGCTCCGTAAATCAAAACTATTTTGAAAGATGTTTTACAGCTGAAATAAACCAAAAATATTATTAGAAAAACTATACTAAAACTTATACTGAAATAAAAATAAATTAATGCTAAATAGAAATATTTAAATTATATATACATAATACAACATAAACAACATAATATCGCCAAAGGACTTTTTTTTTTGTGACAAACTTTATGAAATTTTCATACTTTTAGAAATGTATGTATAGGAAAATGATTGGCTTACACTTAGTGAAATAGACACTTGCACAATTATGCCGGGAGTGTCCGTTAAGATTTTTTTAAGCATTATTTGTTTTATTTATAAAAGTTAATTTTTATGAATTAATTTTGTCTACCGTCACACCAGAGGATGATTTTGAGATTTGGCTCAAAGTTGTAAAAAAATAAAAAAATAACTCTTGTAAAACAAGAAAATGCTTAACCATTTACAGTATTCTAAATGATAAAAATGTGAAATAAATAATTTTTTATCTTCTGTGATGGTGAAAAGCCATGTCGCGTCAACTACCCATATATATATATATATATATATATATATATACAAATTTAAACTAAAGTAAAAACTATAAAAAAATCTGAAATATTTTTATAGAAATATTTATTTATATTTCTAAAAATAAATATAAAAATATTTATTTTTAAATTTTTATTTTATAAAAAATATTTGAAATATTCTTTTTAAAAATATAAAAATATGAATGAATATATATATATATATATATATATGTGTGGGGGTGCATTGTGTATAAATATTTTATATATATAAATACACACACGTGCTTAAGAAATATTTTCATGTATATACTGTATATAAATTTATATATAATTTATATTATGTATAAATATTATATATATAAATAATGTTTTTGCTAAAATATACATGCATGTGTGTGTATTTATATATATATATACAAAATAATTATACACAGTGCACCCATATATATTATGTAAACACAAACTTTTATTTTGGATGCGATTAATCGCGATTAATCGTTTGACAGCCTTAAAATATATATATATATATATATATATATATATATATATTAAACAAAAGCACGTAACAACATTACTCAAATTTAAACTAAAGTAAAAACTATAAAAAATATTTATTTATATTTCTAAAAATAAATATAAAAATATTTATTTTTAAATTTTTATTTTATAAAAAAATATTTGAAATATTTTTTTAATAATATAAAAATATGAATGAATATTATAATAGTATATTTATAAATAATAGTATATTTATAAAATTTTAAAAAATAGCATTTCTGCTTTGATTTGTGCACCTGTAGAAGTTTTGTTCGCATCATCGGGTGAGTCGTCAGACTCGTTCTTCTCCACACTTGCAGAATCCCCGTCTGAAAGCACAGAGTATGCCAAGATTAATTCAGCAACCGTGTATCATTTCGCTGTGAGAAAAGAGTGACTGTGCCAAGCCAAGTAGGACATGTTCCTGGAACATCTTTTGTTGGTGCTTGAACAACAAAACATAGTCGTCGTCCTCCTCACTGTATAACCATTAACTACCGCCAGAGGGAACGACGGCTTAAGACGAGTGTTGTTCAAGAATCAACATGAGGAAACTCTATACCTGTGTCGACTGGACCGGAGACCGCCTTCTCATCCGAGTCTGTTTAATAGAGAGACAGTGAATCATTACTTTCATCACACACACACTTTGAAATATATGAGCTTTAATTCTCTGATGTTTGGAAGTGCTTGTTTTCGGAACTTTTCTTAAAAAAAAAAGTTATTTTTATCATTCCAAAACTATGATAATATTTTTCAATGGAGCATAAATTGATAAATTAAAGTTTCTTAAAAATTATTCTTTTGTGTTCCATGAAAGAAAAAAAAGGTGAATAAATTAGTCTAATATTTACCTTTTATTTTCAATATTCAGATTTATTTCAATTACTTTATTTCAACCACTTTACTTTTTTAGTCACTTATGGGTGAGTTATTAATTTACAGTTTCATAATCACATTTTAGCATTGAGTTATACAGACGGGTAACTCTGTCTCTGTTGTGTGTGTGTGTGTGTGTGTGTGTGTGTGTGTTTACCTGCGGATTCCTTCTCCTTTAAATCTGTATCAGCGTGATCTGCATCTGAAATATTATGACACATTTAGATTGACTCATAGAGACAGTCTGTTTCATTTCACACGATCTCTCTTACAGTACCTGTGCTGTCCTCCGCTGATGGCGTCTCACTGATCTCATCTGCAGAAATAATAATAGTACAATATTTTGTACACATGTAGATTCTGTATATTATGAAAATCCATATTTGTGTTTCACCGACCTGAGTCGCCTTTCTTCTGCTGCGATGCATCGGTTTCTGTTTCAGTTTCTGTATCTGCGTCTATGTGTGTGTCCACATCGATATCTGTTGTGTCTGATTTAAATCAAGACATAAATAACTGCACAATATTTGTTTTGCTATTGTTATGAATTACATAACTGAATGGAATCCTACAGTCTAAAAAATGCTGGGTTGTTTCAACCCAAATTTGGGTCAAATGTGGACAAACCCAAATGTTGGGTTAAAAATGCAATTCAAAAAATGTAGTTGAAAGTGGGTTAAACTTTGAAATGACATTTTTAACCCAACATTTGGGTTTGTCCATACAGTATTTGTACAAACAACCCAGCGTATCCTTTACTTATGGTCGTTTTTTTAAGGGAAATAATACAATGTTGTGTTTCAAGATGTTTTTTTAGGAAGTGAGGGATTGCACTGTTGCTGTGTGTTCAGGAAAGGGATGCATAGGTAAAGTTGTACCTGTGGAGTCTGGGCCGCTGGTGGCTTCGTCCAGGCTTGTGTCACCTGGAATCAGTCGAGCTGTTAGTTTGAGCAACGCCGTTTCAAAATGAGTAAACGATTTGCTAACACTTTATTAAGTAACTATATGTCAACTTATTCTACTAACACCAAACCCTAACCTTATAGTACTAGTACTACACTCTAAATAATGCTAGGTTGTTTTAACCCAAATTTGGGTCAAACATGTCATTTCAGATTTTATCCCAACTTCAACGTTCACTTTCAACTGTAAATTTTTTAATTGCATTTTTAATCCAACATTTGGGTTTGTCCATGTTTGACCCAAATTTGGGTTAAAACAACCCAGCATTGTTTTGAGTGTATAATGAAAGTTAGTTGACATGTAATCTGGATTATAAAATCAGATTACAAAAATGAATACTTGTAATCAGACTATACGCTCTAAAAAATGCTGGGTTGTTTTAACCCAAGTTTGGGTCAAATATGGACAAACGCAAATGTGTGGTTAAAAATGTAATTGAAATTGTAACCCACTGGCTGAGTTTGTCCATATTTGACCCAAATTTGACCCACTTTTAAAAAAAAATTGCTGATAATTTACTCAACACCATGTCATCCAAGATGTCCACGTCTTTCTTTCTTCAGTTGAAAAGAAATTAAGGTTTTTGATGAAAACATTCCAGGATTTTCTCCATATAATGGACTTCAATGGGGACCAAACGGTTCAAGGTCCAAATGAGAGTTTCAGTGCAGCTTCGAAGTGCTTTAAACGACACCAGACGATGAATAAGGGTCTTAGGACCCTTCGAGTCATGACTCGAAAAAAGATTTGTTCATTTTGATGAACGAGTTCAAACAGGAGAGTCACGAACGCTCATCACAGAACAGAGCAAGGCGACCATTTGTGCTTATAAAACTTAAACTTTGTTCTTTATTTTTGAAATGAGTGATCGTTTCGCTTGATAAGACCCTTATTCATCGTCTGGTTTCGTTTAAAGCACTTCGAAGCTGCACTGAAACTCTCATTTGGACCTTGAACCGTTTGGACCCCATTGAAGTCCATTATATGGAGAAAATCCTGGAATGTTTTCATCAAAAACCTTAATTTCTTTTCGACTGAAGAAAGAAAGACATGAACATCTTGGATGACATGGGGGTGAGTAAATTATCAGCAAAAGTTTTTTTTAAAGTGAACTACTCCTTTAATAAATCATTGATTCACTTTCTATAAACGTCACGGGTTTGTGGAATCGCACACACAGGCCAGCCACTTTAGTCATGTGACTCGCTGAAAACTGAGAGCCACAGCATTTACACTAATCATTTCACTTTTAACAAGTGTTTACTCAACATTGCAACACTGCATATCGAATCAACTCCTGATGCACATATTAATATGATTTGAATCACTCAGAGTCATTTAACCATGTCTTTGGAAGGCTTTTGTCTTTGAAACACATTAAAATATTTAATAATTTCATGCAATGCAGGGATTCTTCAACTTTTTTTTTTTTTTTTAAACTGAACCTCTTTGACTTACTCGAATATATTTACTGGAAGTATCTCCTGAGATTTTAAGTTGACAAGTCGGGTCAATAAAAAATTAAGTCAATAGTAATAATAACAATAATAATACAATTAAGTTCACAGTTCTTTGATGTTGGTTAATGGTCACATGACATGAAAGTAAATACAAAAAAATATTTCATCTTTTTAGTAAGTTTTATTTTGACTCTATTTAATTGAAAAATATTTATTTTAATTATTTTTTTTTTGTGTGTGTGTGGGTGTGATTTAATTATTAGCTTTTCATTAAACTCACAAACCCCCCACACAGTTCCTTCACAAACCCCAGTCTGGGAAACCTTGACGTAATATTTAACGCACTTGGAATGGAATAAGATTATCCTATTCAAATCAACATGATTAACGAATTAAGTCAAAAGTAATCTAAATTTAATCAAAAAGTAATCCGATTATATTACCTTAAACCTGTAATGCAGTGGATTACATTACTGGGATTTGTTTGAGTAATTGGGGACCAGTAAATGACTACAGAAATTACCCAGCGCTGGTAGTTACAAAGCTACTTATATTTAGTAGAATATCTAATAAAGTAAAATAAAGTGTAACCAAAGATTTGAGAAGCGAAGTCTTACTGTTTGTGTCTGGTGTGTCCGGAGCTCCATCGGCCTCTTTATGAAGAGAAAGACAATTATAAAAGTTATTTTATTCATCCTAGTGTCAGTAAAAGTGGTTTCATTCCTCAAAATGATTGCTAATGTGTTAACAAACAAGCATAGGCCTTGTTTTGTATAATTCAACATCATAATGACTCAATACAAGAATGTAATCAATTAAAGGATTGTATCCTGGTTCTCAGCATCAAAAGAGATTACACATCTCCATCCTTTTCATTAATCATTGATTGAGTAAACGTTTCTGTTGTGTTTTCTGTGCTGTTGCCATGGCATTATTCAGGAAAGATTGAGCGTGACACTTTTGGACTGGTTTTAATTCGCTCCCTTAATCTTTTCCCATTGACTGACTACATCCTGCTTTTCCAACTAATACCGTGTTGAACAGGCCGCGGTTAAACATTAATCCGTGTGTATTGGTTATCACACTCATTCGTGTGTTATCGTGATCTCAGCACTTGTGAAAGCTGTGTGCTCCAGCGCTCAGGGCATGTGTGCTTTCTCTCTTTCGTGTGCTGTACGTCTAGACGCTCGGTACCAGAAACTGACCTGGTTTCTCAGTGGTGTCGGACGAGTCGCTGGGACCTGAAATCACACAGAAGTTCTGGTGTCGTTTGGAAGTTCGGTGTCATGTTTGTTACCTGTTCACTGTTCAGTTTCTTACCTCCTTGTTTCTCTGATGAATCTGTCCCATCCGTAGTTCCTGCAAAAGAATGTTTTCCAAAGTTAAACTTGTTACAGATGACTTTGCTTTTATTTATAATTTTCATATTTCTTTATAGCTTCAATATATATATTTCAGCAACATTTCTAATATTCATTTAACGTTTTTAAAGATATTAAGTTTTGGTAATTTTGTGTGTGTTTGTCACTTTTATTAGTTTTCTCACATTTCTATTTAGATTTATTTTATTTTAAGTAATATGCTTAAGTAATATGCTTCAACTTATTTTAGTTCAGTTAGTTACCAGTGCAACAATTTTTCTAAATTAATGTTTTTCATCTATTAATATTTTACTTAGCTTTATTTTAATTAAGGAGTAGTTCACTTTAAAAAAAAAAATTGCTGATAATTTACTCACCCCCATGTCATCTAAGATGTCCATGTCTTTCTTTCTTCAGTCGAAAAGAAATTAAGGTTTTTGATGAAAACATTCCAGGATTTTCTCCATATAATGGACTTCAATGGGGTCCAAATGGTACAAGGTCCAAATGAGAGTTTCAGAGCAGCTTCAAATGGCTTTAACCAGACGATGAATAAGGGTCTTAGGACCCTTCGAGTCATGACTCGAAAAAAGATTTGTTCATTTTGACGAATGAGTTTGAACAGGAGTCACGAACGCTCATCACAGAACAGAGCAAGGCGAGCGTTTGAGCTTATAAAACTTAAACTTTGTTATTTATTTTTGAAATGGCCGCTCGTTTCATTGGTTAAGACCCTTATTCATCATCTGGAGTCGTTTAAAGCCCTTTGAAGCTGCACTGAAACTCTCATTTGGACCTTGAACCGTTTGGACCCCATTGAAGTCCATTATATGGAGAAAATCCTGGAATGTTTTCATCAAAAACCTTAATTTCTTTTCGACTGAAGAAAGAAAGACATGGACATCTTGGATGACATGGGGGTGAGTAAATTATCAGCAATTTTTTTTTTTTAAAGTGAACTGCTCCTTTAACGAAAATGTTGTTTAAAATGTTTTATTATATTTTAATAGTTTTAGTTAAAGTCCCTCTTTGGTGAAAATCAAGCTTTTAATGTTGTTTGTATATCTATGTGGTGTTTTTAATACAAATGGTGTTGAATCTATACATTTTTTCTTGATATTTAAAAAAATTCTGACCTTTTTTTTTTCTAAAATAATTGAATGGATGCCATTTTTGAACTCTTGGCATGAGGTTTCTACCATTCTTTCATGATTTTTCATGTTCATCACTATTTCAAAATAAAGGTCTGAACACGCCTTAGGAGTATGAAAATATTCTTGTTGCAAATTGATCAATTACGGCTCCTCTGTAATTTATTTTGAAAATCACCAAAAATGGAAACTAGAGATTGTAAGCTTTCAAATGATATATAGTTTGTCAAGATTAGTTTAGCTTTAGTGTTTTAAAAATGTAATAGTTTTGGGCCCACCACCATTTCTGAGTATTTTCTCCTTAAAACTGCAGTGAACCTTTTGACATTCTCAAAATCGCTGGTGTTTCTGACGTCACAAACTTCCTTGTAACCAATCAGATCACCGTCAACGATCTCTGAGCTGATATGAGGAGTGGAGGCGTGGCTCATTTGCATATTAATAGCACCAAGGCAAAGGTGTCAAGTTACATTCAAGCTATTTTAAAGGGATACTCCACTTTTTTTTAATTCCCCCAGAGTTAAACTGTTGGGTTTTACCGTTTTCTAATCCATTCAGCCAATTTTCTGATATGTAGAAGAATATCAGTAACCAGACAGTTTCTGGTCCCATTGACTTCCATAGTATATATTTTTCCCTACTATAGAAGTCAATGGCACCAGATACTGTGTGGTTACTGATATTCTTCTAAATATCAGAAAATCGGCTGAATGGATTCGAAAACAGTAAAACCCAACAGTTTAACTCTGAGGGAGTTGTAAAATGAGCCTATTTCCATATAAGTCATGAACAATTTTTCCAGGAAAACCCATTTAAATATGTAATTTTGGTGTTTTGAGTTTTAAGGGATAAAATGATTGACTACTGGGGGACTTTAACCATAACAACTCTACCATCCGTCTAAATATCGTTGTTCAATAGGCAGTTTATATACAATTTTTATTGCAAGACTTATAGCCAGACCAACCTGAGTCTCCATTTACAGGAACTGGAGTTGGAAGAGCTTCAGTAGCCTGACCTGAAAAGAGAAAACATGTTTTTCAGATGATCTGGACAACCTTCTGCAGTCCATTGATTTATGATTTATAGATCAAATTCATTGCGACCTACCATTGAAGATATAAGTCAGGGCTGCGGCCAACTCTGAGAATATAACAGAATAAAAAACACAATCAGTGACATAAACCAGATGGTATTCGTGTATAACAGATACTTCTTATCTACTTTATACTTTATAATCTCATCTGAAACTCTAAAGGAGACACATGATGTGAGGTTCATGGGGTCTTTTTCAAAGAAGTGTGATTTCATCCCATTTCTATCTTGAGGAACATTTTGAGTTTTCCCTCTGTAATGTCTTTCTTGAACAATTGTAGTAGTACAATGCAGTTCTTTGTTCTTACACAGCTCTTGCATTCAGGGGCAATACGTGACTTAAAATGTGAAATCATTATTATGAAGGGCAATGTGCGTAAGAGAATTACTCTTACCGTCATTATCAGTTTCACCTGTATCAAAGCAAAAGACAAACCGTTAGTTAGTGAGTGCATTGAGCTATAAGACTGTGTCCTATAGAGGCCCGGGACAGGTGAACAAAACTCTTTTGTGTTCTGTGACGGGCTCTGATTACACTCGTTATAGGGAGGCAGAACATGCTTCACGTTACTTAGAAAGAAGAGCCGGTACATGTCACTAATACAAATGTAGGGATTCTGGGCTATATACAGTATGTGACCGATGTAACGATGTCAGATTCCTTACCGGTAATTGGTGCAGAAATAGAGACACCAACTAATGCAAAGATCAACGGGACAACCAGCGTCCTTTATAACAAGAGGAGAAAAAAATGAAAGCATGTAAGCGTTCACAAAAACATCTAATCTAAAATAAATAAATAAATAATCTAAAATTAAAAGTAAATATATACACACATGTGTATTTTATAGCATTAACAAATGAATAAACAAAGTTAATACATCTTTTTAGAAAACTAAAACACAATTCTGATCTTTGATGCACATAATTTTTATCACACAATTGAACATCTCAGTAAAACATGTACATTTAAAACCATAGAAAGATAGATTCTGCCCTCATAAACGGTTGATAAATGTTTCATTTTGGTCTAAATGTTTGGTGTGATCTCTTAAAGATCCATGCAGATACAGACATTAGACTAGTTAGTTCACTACATCAATATCAATCATTCCGATTGTTTTTGCGGACTTTTGCATCTTTGTAAATACAGTATGTACAACGGATCACTGAAAGGAAATACTGAGACATTAAGCCAGGCCAGGGCTGCGTTTCTCAAAAACATTGCGAGCGAAGTAAATCGATCGACTCAGGCTTCCGATGCTTTTGGGAGACCTAGACAAGGTTGCTGAGAGTAAAGGAGACGCTCGTACTCACCGGGACAGCATTGCAATAGCGCAGGAATGCAGTGTGAGATTGACGCAGGTGATCAGGTCTAAAGCCTGAATGGAGCCGCTCTCAGATGTTTTATACTCTCGAAGGGGGTTGAGCTAAAGACTGAGGCGTTACATGAGAACCTCTAAAGCTCCGCTCATTAGAGCAGGGTTATGAAGGCAGGCCGTCCTGCTATTGTTTGTGTTTTCAAACTGCCTTTGTAAATGGTGTAGCTTCTGTGTCCCAGTCCTGGTGTCTCTGTCTCGACGGGTCTCGCCGCTCCTTCCAGACATTTGATTTAGTTGATTTGAGGAGTTCTTCTCAAAGAGGAGCTGGGCAGGACATGCGGATGGTGTTCGCGTCAGAACTTCTGTCCTTCTTTCTTCTGTATGGCACAGACTATGGAAGCTTGTTTCCGCCACAGAATGAAAAATAAAAAAGGTAATTGCGACTTTTTATCTCACAACTCTGACTTTTTCTCTCACAATTGCGAGTTTACATCTATAAAGTCAGAATTGCGAGATATAAAGTCGCAATTGTGTGATATAAAGTCAAAGTTGTGAAATATAAAGTCGCAATTGTGTGATATAAAGTCAGAATTGTGAGATATAAAGTCAGAATTGTGAGATATAAAGTCAGAATTGCGAGATATAAATTCAGAATTGTGAGATATAAAGTCGCAATTGTGTGATATGAAGTCGTAATTACGTGTTATAAAGTCAGAATTGTGAGATATAAAGTCAGAAGAATTGCGAGATATAAAGTCAGAATTGTGAGATATAAAGTCAGAATTGTGAGATATAAAGTCGCAATTGTGTGATATGAAGTCGTAATTACGTGTTATAAAGTCAGAATTGTGAGATATAAAGTCAGAAGAATTGCGAGATATAAAGTCAGAATTGCGTGATATAAAGTCGCAATTGTTTGTTATAAAGTCAGAATTGCAATATATAGTCAGAATTGTGAGATGTAAAGCCAGAATTGCGTGTTATAAAGTCAGAATTGCTTGATATAAAGTCACAATTGCGTGTTATAAAGTCACAATTGCGAGATATGAAGTCGCAATTGCGTGTTATAAAGTCAGAATTGCGTGTTATAAAGTCAGAATTGTGAGATATAAACTATTCTGAGGGGAAAAGTTAGGCTTTTTCCCCCTTGGAATTGTCCTGATAACTCGCAATTGCGAGTTTATACCTCAATTCTAAGACAAGATGTCAGAATTTCGAGATATAAACTCGCAATTATGTGTTATAAAGTCAGAATTGCGAGATGTAAACTCGAAATTGTGAGAAAAAAAGTCAGAATTGTGAGATAAAAAGTCGCTATTTTGTCTTTTTTCTCACAATTGCGACTTTATTTCTCAGAATTGCAACTTTATATCTTGCAATTGCTAATTTATTTCTCAGAATTGCAACTTTATTTCTCAGAATTCTGACATCATATCTCGCAATTGTGAGATAAAAAGTCACAATTATTTATTTTTATTCAGTGGCGATTTTTTTATTCATCTGATCATAGTGATGTGGATATGTTTGCACAAGCTCTGTAATTCAGCGCTTCAGTACGTCACATTTATTTACATAGCACTTTATATTTAGATTGCTTATATAAAGTTAAAAACGTCATTACTATAAAGCAGCTCCTCCGGTGTGTTGATGTTTTTACTCACAGTTGTCTGACCCCAACGAACTCTACACACACCTACCTGTTACATCATCGTCCCGGATCAATGGCAGTACAGAGGTGTTTATCCGCCAGAGCGAAAGTTGGTTTTCTCCCAAAACAATCTCAACAAAATTAAATTTGGCCTTCAATTTCGCTTAGCGATGTACTAAACATGGATAAAGTTAATCGCGTACAGACGACAATGTTGTCAAAATGATCCCTGTTCACATGGATCCTCGATTAAAAACACTTTATTATTCTGCCAGGCCAGTACTTTATAAAGAAACACTAATCGCGTGCGCATGACGTCACTATTTTTCACGAATTTTTCATAAAATCCGCATTATTCTATTTTACACAGGTTACTAGCTAGCTTGCACTTTGAAACCCATAGATATCTATATAAAGGCTAGATGTCTCACGGCGGAGTATTTATCGTCATCACCGGCGGCCATCTTGTCACAGACAGGCTTTCTGGCGGGCTCTGTGGTATCTGATGTAAGAAATACTCTTATCTCGTTGAAATCTTGACGGATTTACAAACGGTTTGGTTTCTTACAAACGTTATTAACGCGGCTATAATTCTGGATGATTATTTATTTATACACTTATTATTCATAAGTATGCAGTATCATAACTACATCTCTGCCGTTTATAACAAACCAGGGGTGCGTTTCCCAAAAGCATCGTTAGCCAACTATGGTCGCAAGTTCCGTCGTTATCAGCATAGTTTAACGAGTCTGTGTTTCCCGAAACCATCGTTCCAACGAACATTCGCAAACAGCGTCGCAAAGTTGTGTGGTTTGAACGACAGCTCTCGACCTGTGGTTAGAGGCATCGTTTCTATATGACATTTGGACGTAATAAATCCTTATATTGAGCAAAATAAGCAAGCTGACATTCAGTACAACCGGTGTCTTTTATTTAGAATACATACAAATGGAATTTACGTCTTTTAGTTTGTCAAAAGATTTGAAGTAACGTCTTTGAAGAGTGCGCATGTGCGAACGTGCACTACTATGTAAGAACGAGCCAAATATTGAGACTGGTAATAAAGCAAAACAACTGAGAACAATTAGAAATAGTCCTCAGATGACATTCTGTAATTTATATAAAACAAATCTAGCATTAATTGGATCTTAAACAGTTTCATTAAAAGCAGTTACTCCACCACGTGCGAAACCAACGTGGTTGAACGATACTTTGCGTTACGATACAATGGGTTTCGGGAAACAGTCGTGACTATCTAGTTGATTTCTCCAACGATGCATCGTACTATGGTAGTGAATCAGCGAACTACGTCGTTGTACGGGAAACGCACCCCTGACCGTTTGAAAATCGGTAGAAAATTGAGCAAGTTACGGTGATTTTGTTACCTGTGGCAAGATGGCCGCCAGGTGCTGACGTCGACCTCCATTGGCCAGCAGCGCGGACGAGATATCTAGCCTTTATATAGATATCTATGTTGAAACCCGTTTTTACAAGTTTGCCTCAAAGCTCTGTTGTTGTGGAAGTGAACGGCCAAAATGCATATAAAGTTTTCTGTTTTTAGTTGAAAACGGCGTCGTGTAAACAGCCCTCAGTTTGGTTCCGACCCTGCTCATACCTGTAGTTTTCAGAGAAGGCTGATTAGCTGGATTATAGCTTGATTAGCTGGATCAGGTGAGTTTAATAAGGGTTTAAGCTGAACTCAGCAGGACTGTGGCCCTCCGGGAACTCAGTTTAACACCCCTAAGGTGTTGTGGGGTTTATAGGATCTGACTAGGTCAGGAATGGGTCAGTTCGGTCCTAGAGGGCCACAGTCCTGCATGTTTCCCGAAACATGCTGATCAACATCATCAGGATCAGAAGCTACGGGAAGGAGTTTTATCAGGAATTAAGCTGCTCTCTGCAGGACTGAAGGTCTCCATCCCTGATCTAGGTCTGCTTAAACCTTTTGGTTTCTACTTTACTGAAACCAATAACAAGTTATAAAACACATGAACACATTATTACGGAGCCCCTAAAGGGACATGGTGAAGAAGGAAAATATGATATGGGAGGAAAAATAATAAGTCAATGCTTTTTGTTCTCTCATCAAATGTTTGCATTCCCTTGAGGAATTGTGAGAGAATGCAAAAGCATTGATTGACTTATTATTTTTTCCTCCCATATCATATTTTTTTTTTCTTAACCACGTCCAATACATAATCATAGCCGTGTGAGTTGTGTTTTTCATTGCATTGTTTTTTTTCCCCCAATATTTTTTGCATTATTTATTTATTTTCTTAAATACTCTGTGATATTAGTAATGCAAATTTAAATGAAAAACAAAACAGTTTAATTTAACAAATTATTGTTGAATATTTTAATTTTTAATTACATTTTAATTTGATAAATTATTTGTATTTATTTGTTGAGCTATTTATGTTCTGTATGATTAAATTAAATAAGTTAATTTTTAATTTATTTATTAAGCTATTTATTTATTTATTAGCTTGTTTGCATAGCCTATCAGGTAATCTTAATTTAAATTCAAATAAAAACAAGTTTAATCATTTTTTTTTAATTATTTTAGCAATTTACTATTATTTGTTTATTGGCTTGCTTGCTTTAGTCAGTGAGATAGTCTTATTATTGTGGCATTTTATATTTTGATTGATTTATCTCGCCATGGATTTATTTGTTTGTGTATACTTTTATGTATTTTTCCAGTAGATTGGTCTGAGTAGTCTTGGATTGCATGTAAATGAATGTTCCTGATGTGTTGTTGTGAACAGAAATAAGTTGAGAACAGGCCGTAAACGTGTGTTTGGCCTTGAAAAGCTTCCTTTCGTCACACAAAGCTTCTTTGTCTCTGCTTTGAGAAATTGATTGAGTTTAAAACACCTCCTTGTTGTTGAGAAATAAAGCACATATTCCCGTTAAAGGTTAATCATTCGTTTCCTTCTCTTGCACATCCATTCATATTCAACAAGCTAGCATTGACACCTCGGAGTGGGATTAAATACGCAAACGATGCAGTTTTGGGATGTAGATGAGGTTTTGTTGAGGAAATAGGGTGATTCCTGTGGCCTTTGTAAAGGATCGTGGGGCTTCCCTGCTGACGGGAGTGTGTGTGTGTGTGAGTGTGTCACGGCCGTTCTCTGCTCTTCGCACCGCTTTATGATGATGTACTGCTGGCTAAATGGGGAAAATTGTCTTTTTGAAACAAACTTGAGCACTTTTATCCACTGGAATCCACCTAAAGCCATGCAGGAACACGAGAAGCATCACACACTGAACCAGCATGATGTCATTCATCAGTGTGTGTGTGTGTGTGTGAATGCGAGTTCCTGAGTCATCATGAGGAGTAATCGTTCTTTATGGCCTTCAGCACTTCCTTACATTTACCTTGTTTTCGTCATTTCTATTCCTTCTAGTTTTTCCTACTTCACATTTATTTCCTTTCTTCTTTACTTTATTATTCTTT